GCGGCCCCAAATCTAGGAACGTAAGTAGGTAGGTAGGCAGGTAGGTAGGTAGGTAGGCAGGTAGGTAAGGCCGTACCGAAGAAACTCCTGCATAGGCTTCCTATAAAACCCGAGAGCGGCGGGAACCTGCCTCATTTTCCAGCAAGACCCCCCGAGCTGTTCAAGCAGAAGCTGCTTCTCTAGAGAGGCAACCACGAATTGCAAAGCAACTCTAATGTACCTTTTGACCCCTGAGGTACTTAATTAGTGGCCTCAAGCGAGCTTCCCTGAGCCATTCTAGACTCTCTTGGGCCGTGTCGTATCTTGCTTCGCAAGAACGACGCCTGCGCAGGAACCTACGGATGCTTTTCTTCACACGCAGCGAGTGCGTGGTCCTCAATCGAGCTAGTGCACGACCGAACCTCGGATAGGTTTGGGACCCTAAACCCTAAACCCCTAAACCCTAAACCGGCTATAGAACATCACACAATTCACAGAATTTCACGGGATCAGGTGTGATTGTTCTCCCCACAGACCAGTCCAAAGCTGCTAGCAAATTGAAAACATCCGATATTGAAAATCATGCTGGCAACGCTATAGGGTATGTCTGCGAAGCTTTGAGATCCTTTCCTCCAGTGACCCGTTGTTGGCCATTCGGATCTTTGTAGTGCACTGCAAGTTCCGGGGCCTTGTCGGGCTTGGAACAGTAGACTGGCTTGAACTGCGCGAGGTTGCCGATGAGCTTGTGATCTCGGCGGCAGAGATCGGGGAGTTTATCTACGAGCGACTTAGGGATAGCCTTGGGTCTTAGTTTGGGGTTTTCGGTCGTATGATTTTTGGATAATATAACATAACTCACCTAACAACGTAGCAAACCATGGGGCTGGGGCTGGCCCTATACTACAGCTACTGCTAATCTCCAAACCGACACCTTGAACTTTCTCACAGCACATGAAATCATGAAACCCTAACTCCTAAACCCTAAACCGTGGGTTTAGGGTTTAGGGGTTTAGGGGTTTAAGGTTTAGGGTTTAGGGTTAGGGTTTAGGGCTTCCTCAAGACGAAACACTAAACACACTGGGTATGGCTGAGGGGCTCGAGTACAGCCAGGTCGGTTTCTGTGTAGGTCCACCGAAGTCACCCATATTGATAGTTGCACGATGAAGCGGGATTTTACATAGTAGCTCTTGTATTCGGGGATGATCCGCAAACAGACTTTGTTGCGGCTGCTCAAACACGAACCACACCCCGCGTGCAGCAGCAATGTAGAGTAGAATGGCCACACGAGTGGCCATAAGGTTTCCATTCGTTACAGACCACGAATCAGAGTCTCCCATCACAGAGTACTTTCTTCTTCCAGTCGTAGCTCGTGACCTCACTCTGGTGGGTTGGTTAGGATGCTTTGAGGATTGGGGATTTAAAGCACAGCAAACTCTATCGCTAGCAAAGCTGCATAAACACCCAGGAAGAGCATACCGGGGCCAGCATCATGCCAGCTCCAGCAGACAGCCGTAGCACTTGGTAAATTGCTTGGCAAAATCCCCTCGTGGAGTTAAAGTCCATGAAGTCAGCATCGTAAACTACATCGAGCGCTATTGCTCTTCGCCCAGCCTCAGGGTGTTGTTGTCTTACGGTTCGGGCTTATGATGCTGCTATAGTTCAGAGACGAACAGGGCAAGAGGTCGTTGACATTTTACATATGTGTGGGCAGAGAGCAGAGAGGAGAGGGAGAGAGAGAGAGAGAGAGAGAGAGAGAGAGCGAGAGAGACCAACGAACCACAAGAATGGTAACTATAGATATGGCATACACCACAGCACCCCTCCTCGATTTCAGCCCGCGTGACAGCCATCTCGCCAGCGAAGAACTCACAGTGGTCAATGGCTGACCAATCCAGTTTCGGTAGGTCAAGCACGAGGGACACTAGTACGCCGACGACCTGGGACTCTAGGATAAGACACACCCACTGACAACTTCCCGGATACGAAAGCATCACAACTCTAACATATGTTGGAACTTCCGAAGCCAAGCTTCAGTCGGCGCACGAAGAGCACGCAACCGACGAAGTGTTTTCCCCCGTAGCTTTCTCCGTCTACCAGCACCGGATTTTGCCATCACGACTAACGAACTATATACCTTCGATACTTGAACTATGTATCTTCGATATACCTTAACTATGCATCTTCGATAATTTGGAAAAGTTGACAACTCGCAACTGCACCTATATCTGACGACGATAGACAAATGCAATTCTGATAAGTTGCGTTAGCCAGAGATACCCTTGAGCATCGACACAATCATGCGAGAGTGGAAAGTGCTTAAACATGAAAACCTAAAGTACCTGGGGGCTTCGATTCGAACGGTTAGCGGCACTGCCTGAGCAGTCTCCTCAACCATCGCGAAGGCAACGGCCATCTTCCCCAGTGACCTGCAGCAGCCCCCATAGCTTATGCGCAACCAAAACGTCCTAGATACCAAACGTTTAGGCCAACATCCTTAAAACACCAATCACTTTGACTTTCATTCCCTACACATTCCGAACTTCCAATCTATAATGGATATTCATCTAACTCGCAAAACCTTCTCATCCCCGAAACCTTAAACCTGAAGCCCCTCGGCTCCGATAAGTCGAAACTGGAAGTATATCACCGAATGCATCAAAAGTTCTTCGAAAAGAAGATATTGATGTGATGTTCAAACATCCCTCTACTTAGACTCTATTTAATATCCTGTATTGTCATACACTGGTTTATAGGAGGACTATCACTATACATAGGGCTACACGATCGAGAAATACAATAATTAGGGTTATAGACATGCTATAGAGTACATGGGGTGCTGTGCATCAATCAGCCCACCTTGCCAGCCACACCGCGCCAGCTGTGCTCAGCACACTGGCATAAAATCCCTCATAAGATTACCTAATGCCCAACCGTCAGAGCCTACCAGAAACCTTAACAAAGGATCTAAATATCTGAAGCCTTGAAACGAGAACAGAGGTTTGAAGGTGACTATGGTCGAGGCACAGGGTCAGTGTCGAGGGCGATCGGTTTTCAGGATCCCTTAGCCCTAAACCCTAAGCCTAGACGATAGAAGGTCTCAGTTTGGATACCAATACAACCTATATCCGCCAATAGTCTCATTATGTTTAGGGTTTAGGGCTTAGGGTTTAGGGTTTATATAGTGGGTCGTACACTGTCGTACACCTTCTTCAAGCCAAGCCCTTGCCATGCGCGGCCATCATTGCTGCCACTCCTTTACAGAACCATGTCTCATGTACCCACATGAGATCTTCGAGCCAACATGCAACACCCAATCATGCACTGGCAGAAAGCGCACAGCCCTGGGGCAGCTACAATATACTAGGCAAGCTGCATTTGATCCCATCACTTGAGCAGCCCTAGGTGGCTGCAGCACGTGCACCCCGGAACTTGGAAGCATTGCTTCCTCACAAAACAAAGTCCAGCCTCACCTCGATTGAAATCGAAGTGGGAAGACTCCTACTTCAACAAAACTTGTATCCGACGGCGGCCTGGCCTGCCCACTACGGATGGACCGTAACCTTCAACACCATATACTTGCAAAGCGACCCCCGGAGAGTATAGAGCTTTAAGGCTTTTAAGGTTCAAGGCTTAGGGCTCATTGGTTTAGGGTTCGGGTTTTAGGGTTCAGGGTTGTGGTGATCAAGAGGGACGGAATTAAAATATAGATCGGGAACATTTCACTAAAACTACACTACAGGAACTTAACATAAGATCCATCCTCCAGGCGTGGCCCTATGCCACAGAAGCACACACCCACGGTCATCAATGCTATGCATTGACAACAGAGATACCACAATCCCATGTAGATCGAAGCACGACTGCATGCTGCTCTTAAGGTTTTCAAGCAACATATGTCATGGGCTCATGGTTCCACATACCCAGACCGTTGCTTCGCAGCGGCCCATGCTTCTGCGACAGAGCCGAACCTCTTGAAGTTGATCTGCCCCAGGGGGCCGCTCGCATCCTCATTGATGCGCTTCAAAAAGAAGGCCTTCGTCCTCACCAACACTTCAATGGTGGCTGGGCCGACGGCCGACTTGAGAGTGAAACTGTGCTTGCCTTTGTTCTCGCGATTGGTCTGAGGCCAAGCAGCCTTTGGAATTTGCAAATCATGCAAATTGTAATCTCCATAGATACCCTTGGCCCGGTCGGCAAGCTTGATTTCCTTCGCCTTGGCCTTGGACTTCTTCAGCACATGCCGCCTCTTGAAAGAAGCGAGCGACTTGGTCTTCTTCTTGCCTTCCTTCTTCTTGTTGTGCTTGGACTTGGCCTCGGTCAAACTTACGGATGCGGTAAATTTATACAAACTTCCACCGTGCATCTAGATATGGAGACAAGTCACCGCCGTCTTTGCAGTCTGCATCGGCACCGGGGATGGGGTAAGCGTATCCACGGCATGCACACCCTTCGACTTGCACGGAGGGGTCGAAAGTGCTTTCATGCCGTCGGCCACTTTCTTTCCCGGTCTGCTAGGCACTCCATCGCGCCCTGCCTCGACCAATGCACGCTGCATTTCCGCAGACGCCACGGCCTTCTCCTTCGCTGAGCACGTCGCGGCCGGCAACTTCTTCTGCTTCTTGCGGGGCGGGCACTCACCGAGCTGCAAGGTTTTCTGAGAATCGATGCTCTCGCCATCCTCGTTCCCCGAGCTGACGCCAGCATCATCATCCGCCATCTCTTCTTCCTCCGACTCAGCGGCGTCGGGAGAAAGAGGCTGCTCTTTCTTCTCCTCGGCCTCAGAGGCCTCAGACTCGGAACTCTCAGCCTTGCAAAGGGCAAGGACAGCCTGGCAGGTAAGGTCACCCAGGTTGACAGTCGATTTGCCTCGGCGCAAGCACCCGGGCCCGGGCTCATCATCCTCCAACGGCGCAGGGCTTGCGTCGCCGGGCTCATCATCCTCCAACGGCGCAGGGCTCGCGTCGCTGTCGTCTCTGCGGTCGGAGCTCACGTCCTCCTCCGGCTTTGCGCTCGGGCTGGCAAGAACTTCATCCTCAGAATCGCTTGCAGGAGACACCGGCGAGGCATTGATCCGTGCCGGCTCCGGCTCCGCGCCCTCGTCAGCGGCGGCCTCTGCATCACTGGAAACCGAATCATCGGAGTCGCCGTCGGCCTGTTGCAGCTGGGAACAGACAGCACTAATTCAAGGAATGCGCAGCACGAGCCGCAAGCAGGACCTGCTGCTTCTGGGCAGGAGATTTCTGCAGATACCCCTTCAAGATAGTCACACGCTCATCGAGGCTGTTGTCGCCTGAGTTGCATGCAGCTTTAAAACACACGTGGTCATTTTGCAGTTTTCACATGCGATAGGCAATTGCATGCCTCATTGATTCGAGCATGGCGGCTTCCACGTTTCAAGGTTCGCAATGAACCCATCAACTTCTTGATCCTCTTCGCTTCTCGGGCCGCAGCCATGGATTTCGTATCTCCGCCCTGCTGCAAGATCAAGCCCCCTTTAAGCATATGATCCAACACCAATAGCGCATCGGTCAAGAAAAATGCCGAGGGCACCTAGGCAATAGTCGGGTGCAAGACAAGTGAGGATGGTATGACAAACAACGGAAACAGCCTGCATTCAATTCAAGACGCTCGTCGAGGGAAGTCAGTACAAACAGGCTTCAGCCAAACAAAGTTGTCGGCTATCTCCTGCATGGAAGCACCCAAAATTGCATGGGTGCTACTATATCACTGCTCAGAGCGACGTCTGTGCCACGTCGAAAACTCAAAAACGCATGTCCTTGAAGTTGGGTCTGCACACGTCAGAAGTAACGCGAACCAGCTTTACCCCAGCTTGAAGCTTTTTGCCCAACACGATGTTCACAGCCTTTTCAGGCATTTCATCGTACCACCCTTTGGCCATGTGCTCCTAAGTTGAAGCAGCTTCCATTCCTTGCATACTCCGAAAACCTGATCCGAATTGCAGGCAATGATTGCAGATCAGAGTCGACCTGCTGAAAGGTCCAGGAGACCTTGCCAGGACCTGTGCTTGCGCCAAGCTTTTGAATACTTGAATACTGACAACGGCAAATACCATGTGCTCGACTCTATACAGATGTAGCCTTTTGCAAGATGCGCACAGAGCGCCAGTTCTCCGCTGAAACTGCGCCCAACTCTCGGTCCCGGGACCCAACCATGGCCCAACTGAATGCATCAGACATGTCTGATGCACACCACGACTCGGGCACAGAAACTCACGCGTGCTCAAAAGACAGCCTCCAAAATGGCTGCATGACCGACATGCTGTTTTTCAAGTGCACAAGTCATGCCACCCCTTCCCCGCTGCTTCAAGTTCATGTGCCCGACTGCAAGCACAACGCAAGCTACTCAGAGAGAGAGAGAGAGAGAGAGAGAGAGAGAGAGAGGGAGTAGGTGAGTGAGTGAGCGAGAGAGACAGACAGATAGATAGACAGACAAACCGACAGAAAGAGGAGAGGGAGAGAGACGAGAGCGACAGAGAGAGAAAGAGATAACCTCTGAACTTTGTTGAAGCCCCAACCCTGAAAGACGAAACGAGTTCGTGTAGGGGCCAAGTCCGTATGTAAGTAAGGTAAGTGATTTTTTTTCGCTCACACGCGTGTGTCCGTCATCACGAAACGGTCATCCGTGTTCAGCACAAGGATGAAGCTTTTCATATATCCATAGATTTATTGGGATCAAACACTGGCCTTTGCAACCGCTGATCATGCATATAGATTGGAGAATACACTTGCGCACTGCACTGATTGTCAGTGCTAGCAGGAGTAACCATTGCACACTTTTTCCTTGCTATAGAGCACTATGCCACGGCCCAGTGCACAAATGTAATCAATAACATAATAAACAAGGATGACGTTCACAAGTTGGCAGGCATGTGCTTTGATCGGCATCGCAAGGGCCCACCCTGGCAGCACCCAGTGACCAGCACGACGATGACGCATTTGGCAAGCCACACATGTCAAAAAACACAAGCCCATTATGTCCGCTCCCGGAATCCTATCGGGATTGCAACACCAGGTTTCTACCCTCGCATTCGCCGCCTATTCCATGATAATACGAGAGTTCTACGAGAGTTAAATACAAAAGGCATCATTTCTTGCAAACCATGTATTTGGGAGGGAAGGTGTCCAAAGGACAACATCAGAGCCTTCCGGTTGAATGTTTATTGTGAAATCGATCATTTTCTGGCTTTTGTGGGCTTCCCCCCATTTGGGGGGCCTGAGGCAGCCAAAAACTTAGAAATTCCAGGCATTCCTGGAAACAGCGTTTCTAATTGAGTGTTTATTGTGAAATCAACAATTTTCTGGCTTTTGTGGGTTCCCCCCATTTGGGGGAGCCTGGGA